TAAGTTGATGAAGAACTGGTAGTTGAATTTACCCACATTACTATCAATAGGTCTCATGTTACTATTACATTTCACATAGCTTTACTTTCAAAATGCTATTCTCCTCCTGCAGAAGTGGACTCCTGGATTTCATCAACACCCCCAGAACGGGAATCGAAACCGCTTGTTGCAATGAAGCGCATAGTCTTGACATGTTAACTATTGCATCACATTTTCAAGAGCTCAGACATTTTCTAAAATCACAATTTTGTCATAGGATTGTCTACGAAGCAAGGTTATATTTGCGATAGCAATCGAAAGTCAATTTATAAAACGTAAAATTGGCTTAAAGGAATCGTTAACAAACATTTTGGTATAAAGCCTGATATAGTGAGGGTTCTTTATTTTATAGCGCTCTCCTTTCTCTATTATCGGAAATAGACAATTTATCACTAATTTTTAATGATGAAGATACTTCACACAACAACGCCGATTAATCCGTCAGTCAAAAGTATGAAAATATGCCGAACCAACGGCAAATTTCTAGAGAAAGCATGACACAAGAGGAGGGGGATGTAGGACTGGTTATGTTTTTCGAGAACTCCTAAATGCAGGGCTAAGTTGAGAAAATGAGATGAAATGAAATCTACTTGACATTCCGCCACTTTGCTGAGGCACTTTCTGGCGAAATACTTCAATTCTTCATGCGCCATGTAGCTCGTGATAACAACTACACTTGTGAATAAATAAGCACTGCATTGTTGTATTTTGGTAGAGCATAATTATTTTATTACACGAGAGGCATGAGCATGTTGTCACGAGTGCTATAGCCTGGCAGACTTACCCTTCGGCCCCAATACCGCCGCCATTTTGGCCAGACGCTAAACGGACTGGCATTTCCCTATTCTGCTCTTGACGCTTAACAACCACTACAATGCTTCTAGAGACCAACAGTTTCAGAAACAGAGAAGGGCAATTTGCGTGGTTGTAGTCACTACTGGTCCAAGAAAATCAACTTAGTGCCATCACGAAGAGGGTTTTTCAAGCCGCCTCTTCCATATTGCTATCTCCAATACAGACCCCACTAGCCGAACCACAAGGACATTGGACAACAAAGTGGATGAAATCACACTCGGCTGATTCCTAAAATGTGCCGACTAAAGTTTTGTCGAAAAGAGGGAGATGCGATCTTAGCAGGATAGCGAAATTGGCTAACGTCGTAAATGAAAAAATTGATATATGACTCGGACTCGCCAGCATTAGTTCCATGTTTTATCGACTACACCTGCCGGTCGGCTTGTCAAGCCTCTACTCACTTCGGTCAAGTACTTAGCGCCGATAGCAATCGAATGACCCAAGTTTTAGATAAGAATTGGTCTGCCCGATAAGTGTATTTTAGGTCAAATTAGCTTTGGTTATGATAACAATAACGCCAATTCTCGGTTTAGGGGTATGCAAAGAATAACTCAAACCAAAACTATCCCTTTACCTTCCCAAAAGGCTGATATTCTTATCCTCATCTCCCCTGCCAAACTGCCCCGCCCGGACAGGACGCATATTTAAGGTAAGGACAAAACAGTCTTATCTGCTGGATGGCCCTGCAATATGCCAGCAAACGAGATAAGGTCAAATGGGACAAAACTATGCTAGGGTTAATGAGGGAGGCTCAAAACAAAGCAGGACTGAGGGACACCGTACGCGATGTAGACGAGCTTTATTTCTTCCAGCCGTAGGAATTGAAGATGTCCTGGGTCAAGTTGTCAAATCTAAATAGGTGGAGCAGGGGGGCCGAAGGGGAGTGCAACATGTGTGGCTTGTGTCAGTAGGGCGTGTGACGGCAAGTGTGTCGCTTCAAGTTGGTTTGCCCGTTTGTGTTTACATCCATCTGTATGTCAGCATGTTTGATGTATGGCGCATGTGGTGGCGTATCCATCTTGACGTTAAGGGCCCCCTCCAGGTGAGGACACCATTTTAGATTGCCTATTTGTCCCAATTCAGCACTAGTTGTTCCTTGAAGTGCTTCAGGACCAAAGACATTTTGGCCAGAGAAGATGGTACAGGCTCGATCTGGGTTTGAGGCTTGGATTCAGGCCTAAATAAACTATATTCCAACAATTGCAAGATGACTGTGGGTGCATACCCCAGTTTATGCAGGTAGACGCATCGCAAAAGTTTGCGTACAAATGAGTCGCGTTTATGTATTCAACCTCCCTCTTTCTCTTTCTCTGTACGTACTAATGCCTGCATTTACTTATTCAATCAATCACACTAAAGTGTGTGTTTCTTCATGTATCATGTAAAGGAGCGGAGAGTAGTCACTTTGGCTCATAGGTGCCATGGGGAGAGGGGTGGTTACGCCTACAGAGTGTCTAGATCAAAGACAAATTACTATTTTCTTCAGCCTCATACCTTCACTACTGACAATCCTGATTAATTGAATGTACAAGTAGGCCAAACGTAAGTGGGACAGGGTTGGTTAGGTACAGGAGTGCTTTAATGGCGATTTCGAGGCATCCAGTCAGCCTATGTTTAGGGAAGGAAGAAGCACCATTTATCGATTGGTGTCTAAAATGTTGATGCCTACTCTGATGGTCACGATGAACTCGAGTTCCCTCCGTCACTACAAGAGGGATTCGAACTGTTGAAAAGCGGGTTCAGAGGCTGGCACATTGACAAATATGTCACAGGACCTGAGAGAAGCCGCGATAAACTTCAATTAACGCTTTCAAGGAAAGACATTAAGTTAGCTCGGATAACATCCTTGAATGCATGTTTAGTATATAACTTACTGATTCATCTCAATGTTTTATTCCTTCTTATGGATCTCATTGCCAACCAAAACTCTAAAATCTTTTTATTCATATCAAGTAGTGAGTCTTGAATAAGAGGTCCAGTCAACCTAAGTCGCATAAAGTGATGAACTGATAATTGAATTTCTTACGAGGATGTGACTAACCTTTTATTTCTATTATATTTTACTGAATGGGGATAGATTTTTGGAAGAAAGACCAAGTGAATTTCAATGGAAAGTGAGGCTTAACGATGTCATGGTGGGAAAATGCAACTATCGGATCATCACATTATGCGACCTATGATTACTGGAGCCTTTATTCTAATATCTCAAAATGTGCAAGATTTGTAGAACATAAAAAAAATTATAGGTGTTTGTCAGAAATGCGTATTGGATAGTATCGGTAATCCTAGATAATAAAAAATATAAAATATTTACAAAATCTTATCTAGCCCTAAAATGTGAGAAATCCTTCTAAAACATAATAATAAGGCAAAAACCAATAAGCTATGCTCATTTCGAAGTAAAAAATCATCCTTCTTAATTTATTTTGAAATTCCTTTTGCACAAATTGAGACTACAAACAATAATTTATCGTGACCTAAGGTAGCTGCTCTAATATACGAATAAATTTATAATAATTGTGAAAAAAACAATATTATCATATCAAACAATACAATGAGGCATTTGCTCCCGTGTCATAGGATTGACATGCCATCTAATGGAAAGTAAGTGTGGGAACTAATGAGTTCATAGTCTCGTATTGCAGGACCTGTAAAAAAACACATTATTACAGATTCAGGCAACGATATGTATAATAGTTGTGTTTATCCTATTTCGTTTAAGGTGATGAAGAACTAATAGTCGAATTTTCTCACATGCATAGTGCCAATAGTGCCTCACGCTCCTATTGTTTTTTACTTGTTTGCGCACTGCTTCCAAATAAGTATTCTTATCCGATGAAATTCAATGCAAACTTGAGTCCTGCTAAGAGCATTCTGGGGAAATTCCACTATCAATTCTTGCTCACCCAAGGAGACTGGAGCTCTTAGTTAAGAATTACTGATAATTTCGAAGCCTGTTTTATAGAAATATAGTGGTATTAGGATTAGTCAGTTAGCTAGAAGCCAAACAAAAATGGCAAGTCATCTTTGTTTAAACCTTAGCAGTCTAGTTACTTATGTGGCAGCTTTAGAGGGCTTACCCTGGAAATAACAAGCACAGTGATGCCATGCTTGATGCTCTCAAGACTCTCATGCATGGCCCCATTTGAGGCTTGTCGGTTTATGACCATGTGTCTCTGTGGGCCCTCTGGTCGATCACACATGGGCTCGAGCCCCAAGCCCACTCGCAAAGGGAGGTTGGAGTCTCGATGGCTGGATAATAGGGGGGGGGCTGTTGTAGAGCTTAACTTTTCGCTTTTCTGCCGCCATCTGTTTAGCTGTTACCGGCGGAGAGTAAAATCTGGCGCATTTGTTCGTGCTAATTGGCGCACAAGGGGACCACTTGTATCGGTAGGAAGAGGGGCTCTAACCATTATGCGGCCAAACTCAAATGCACGCATTAACTCAAGCGTAGCCCTTACGTGAGTGAGCAAAAGCAAACAGCCTCCTAAAAAGTACCAAAATAACAGCCACTGCGAGGCTTCTGGATGGTGCGAAAGAAGTC